CCACACTCTTGCAATATTCTAAACAATGTTACTAAACTCTAAACGCTCTAAAAGAGCACAGAATGTCATGATTTCAGCTCCCTGCCTCCTCTGCCACCTGCAAGCGTTTTCGGCCACGCCCACTTCCCCCATGCAGGAGCTATGACACGCTGCAGGATGAAGCATCTGCAGCTGTGGGCTGCACACAGGTGCAGCAGGTGCTAAATCATTTAAAATAATTTATTTAAAATAATAATTCCATGCCAATCGTGCGGCTCATCCATCAATCAGCCAATTGGGTGTCATCTTCAGTCTTATTTTGAAAAACCGCGATGGAACGAGACTGATAAATGAAGCATGAAGTAGTGAGGGACAACTGTATTTAAATTCAACTTAAAAACTAGCTGACCTGACTAAGGAAATCAGATCTCAACGTTAATCAGAATAAAATAGTTGATTTTGAGACATGGTCCTCTAAACAGAAAGCCCCGTCCTGGGAAGTGATATGCATATTTTTATGTAATTATAATTTAAAGGAGAAGAGGACACGCTTTAGTGGATTAAATATGATTTTGCAATGACTTTGTCACATCGAGTCTTTCTATCTTTTTCAGCCTCCTGCTCCATTTCATTACGTCATAATGTAAAACTACAGACTGGGGCTGGTTCTCCATGAAGAAAACTTGTGAAATAAACTACCTATGTATTTGTTGTGGCTCCTCAGACTGATGAAGTCCTTTGGATGAAAGACGAAACGTTTCAACAAAACAAGAAACAGTCCAGAGGACCTGACTTAACTTTGTTGGATTATTTACCTGGATTATTGAGCATGAACTTTGATACTTGTGTATTTTTACAAAACTTCACATTACATGAAGATGTTTGAGTCTGAACCAAACCAGACTGCCCAACACTGATTCAAATTTAACGCTGTTTCCATGAGTGTGAAATGTTTCTGCACCACTCTGTACACTCAAACATCCATCCATGGAGTGATGGAAGTGGTGAATGTGTGTGAATGTTTGCAGGAATGTGTGGACACGGTGTTGAGGTATGATTCCATCACTTGTTTGACAGTAAACACATGAAATGTGGAACTGATCTTGTAAAGCGAGTCTTTACCTGACGCACCCAGACGCTCTGAGCACCTTGTGCTCACCGAGTCTCGCTGGTCTCAGTCCTGCCTTATTTCTTGCTCGAACTCTCAGCCCCACCAAAGCCTGGGCCAGCCCTGCCTCATCCTCTTCCTGCCTTTTCTCCTCTTCTCTCTCAGCATCCGTCTCCATCTCCTTCCACACCAGCTGCGCTCGATGTCCAGCATTTCTGTCCCCAGCCCTTCGGAACAGCCTGCTCAGCTGATGCAGGTTCACCCCTGAGAAGATGTAGGAACACCCAGACTTCCTGCTGTGTCGACTGGAAGGTTTCCGCTGCGTACTGTCCTCTGTAGGACTGAGATCCAGGGTCTCTGCCATGATGGTAGAAGCTTCCAAGTCTTTCTACTGCAAAAGGTTAGAGTAAGGAAGGAAAACACCAAACTGGTTAGCCTGGAGTCACTTCAATAGCAAAGATTTCTGTGATTGCACCCAAGAAGCCTCAATACATCATCTCACTCTATTACTCTTGAAGATTTTATAGGGGGGAGATTATAGTGGAACAACGAACTGTTTGTCTTTTTCCTCAAAGCTGATAAATCCACCAACACTTCTCTGCTTGTACGAACACAGCATGATGCACGCTGCGCCCCAGATCTGAGGAGACGCTACATCTACACCTTCTGATTGGACACTTTCTGATGGAACGTCTATTAAAGTTGATTTTACTCTACTTGGAAAAACAAGACGGGGGTATATTTATGTTGCTTACCTGCTGGAGTTTGAACGGAGCAGTCTATAACTGTAGACTGCACGCAGGCAGACAGCCTGATTACTGAACCAGCATTTAGAGTGCAACCTTCACACCGCCTAATGCTGAGCTGACCCACTTCTAGCTGCAGCGTCAGAGGAACGCAGGCCTGCAGGGGGGAAGGACTCAAAGAGTAATCCATTAGTGACCTCAAGGCCAACGTGTTTACCTCGAAGCATGAGAGAAAATGATATAAAAACTTACAAAAGGGGTTCTATTTCATTAAAGATGTGAAGAAAGGGATAAAGAATTACTCTTTTAAATTAAATCAGTTTGATTTACAAAGCCTATTTGCATAAATTGCATTTTGTACAATAGCTAATTGATGCAAAACAGGATTACTTTAAAGTAATGTGTCCAATAAACAGGAAGGGGGTTCAGGGTCAACGCAGCAGTAGCTCAGAACGAATGGGGAATAAGGCCAAAAAGCTGGCACACGTGGAGGAACGTGGATCAGAGGAATGGGATCAGCGGAGGAGTCCTCAGAACTGAAAGTAGACCTGAACATGTCTACCTCCTGCTGCAAGAGGCCAAATGATCAGATTAGGACTAGCTGAGGTTGAGCTGAGGAGGAAATGAGAAACAGGTCAAGCCCAAACAAACAAAAGTAAAAAAGTTTGTGAACTAAATCTTTACACATAAAAGTTACTTTCCCGTTTGAAAAGATTTGACATTGATCGCATCATTTGATTTAAAAGAGCTGTGAAAATGTCCTGTTTTTTGGTTGTTAAGGGTTCAAAGCATGAATGATGGACTTTGCAATGGTTTATTATCTGGATGTCCAAATACTTATTTAAAACGTCTTCAGTTAATCACAAATGCTGCTGGCAGAGTCTTAACTGAAGTTAGTGGGAGAGATCGTATCTCTCCAGTTTTAGTTTCTCTCCATTGGCTCCCTTTCAAATCCAGAAGTGAATTCAAAATCTTACTTCTAACCTACAAAGCCCTCAACAACCTAGCTCCATCTTATATTACAGATCTTATTTTTCCATATTTTCCCAATATTTTCCTCTGAAAAAACCTAAATGTAATTTAACTGCAACAAAGCTGTCAGATCCCACAAGCAGCAAACTCACAACTGGTTGGCCCACTATGTGAGTGTGCTGCTTATGGGACTGAGTTTGTTTGTGGCTCCTCGGACTGATGAAGTCCTATGAATGAAGGACGAAACGTTTCAACAACAACAATTAAAAAAAAAAAAAAAAACGTCCAGAGCACAGACATAATACAAACACATATAAACATATGATATCTATGGTCCAGAGGACCTGATTAACTTTGTTTGCTTTTAACTGCAGTTAATGATTAATGATAAGTTAATGATTCACCTTATAAGCTAGCTGTTTTTGTTACTTTGTTGCCATCATATTTGTATTAAAAAAATGTTAAAAATCTTTATGCCTTTTTATAACTGTCTATTGTTGTCGTTGTTGTCATCATTCTTTGTTGAAATCAGGTCTCTCTTAACCTGTCTAAATAAAGGTTGAATGAAAAAATGACCACAGTAATCACCACTAGGTGTCGCAGTTCAGCAGCGGAAGTGACGTCACATGTTAGCAAACAATCGGCAGCACCCAGAGCTCCAGTCCTGTAGCTGTAAAGATTAGCCGCCGTCGCACCATGAAGCCGCAGCTGGCTGAGACTCGCGGCTCTGCGGCCACGAACCGGAGCGGAACCGACGCCGTGCTCTCCTTCCAGCAGGAGCTCGTCACTGTGATCCACGGAGCCTTCGAAGTCGCCGTGGAGATCGCAGTTCGAGAGGTGAAGACGCTCGTGGGTCAGGCCACGCGCGACATCTACGAGGAGCTGCGGCGGGAGAACGAGTCCCTGAAGCAGAAGCTGCAGCGAGCTGAAGCTCTGAAGCTGGACTCTCCCGAGAATCATGACGGCTGTCAACCCAAAGGCCCGAGGCGAAGACATGCGGCGCCATACTCTCTGCGTGGCCAAAACCCAGATCGTGGAGAGGAGGTCAAAGGTCACCCTGCATCTCACAGAAGCCCTGACTTGAACCTCCAGCGTGGGAGCAGAGCCGAGGAGCAGAAGGATGATGTGATGAGTCCATGTGAGGATGATGCAGCCTCAGAGGTGGAGGAAGAGAGGAATACTGGTAGTTCTAAAGGTGGGAGACACTGTTAGCAAAATATCTTATCATCTACAGCAGGGGTGGGCAATTATTTTTTCCATGGGGCCACATGAGAAACAACAAATATTGTGGAGGGCTGGCACAAATGACTTTTTCATTCAACCTTTATTTAGACAGGTAAATCCCATTGAGTCTCGAGGACTCATTTACAAGAGAGACCTGATTTCAACTTAACTCAATACTGCATAATATTAATAGTATTTCATTATTAAAAGCAGTACATAGCACTGTTTTAACAAGCTGGTAAGAGTATTTGTTATGATTAAGCAACGAAAAAACGAGGTTTCCTTACAAAAAATGTCGTTTATTCAATTAAATTTCACAGTACAATGGTAAACTGTTAACATTTTTACCATTTGTGACGTTATATTAATGATCATTTTCAGTCACATTCACCCCAAAACTCATTTTGAGTTTTATATACTGCTGGAAAAAGTTCTTAGCTTTGTAAATATATCACAATATTGTCTTTGTACTCCAAATATTATGAAACATCATATAATAGTGATCGTCACTGAACTGTGATTTCGAGTCCGGGTTCTTTACGTGCCTACATTTGTAGTCTAAACATCTCATTTGGTGTTTTTCAGTTCTTTTTTCTTGTTTAGTGAGAGAAGTTTAGTCTCTGTTGGGCTTTAACGGAAATGTAAAAGTCAGGTTGAAGGTCTGAGGTGGAGATGTGAAGCAAAGCTGACATCATCAGTGAGAGAGGATCTATATCTGGTTGGATTTGGTTAACTTCATTTGTTTACATATGTATTTTGTAATTCCCCTTACGGGGGCCGGTCAGAGTCAACCAAAGGGCCGCATGTGGCCCTGGGGCCGTATAACGCCCAGGTCTGAAGATACAAGTTAACGAAACTCTTGGAAAATTATTAATTAATGTGACGGTGCAACAAGCAATGATTCCAACAACACAGAAATGGCTGCAGCTCACTCCGTTTGACAGATGCTGAGCTAAAGCTTGGTGTGGTAGCTGAGAGTCATCCTAAACACACAGTCTGAGGGCTAACAAGATCTCACAGGATGACAAGAGAGCTACAAGGTTAGACTGAAACAGCTCTTCAACCACAGTGTTTCAGCTCCAAACAGCTAAAATACAGTAACTGATGAGCTCATGGTGTGTGTTCAGTGTTCTCACATATAAATTAAAAGTAGTAGAAATCCTGATGAAGCTGCCGAACACTGTTCACATTAATTTGGCTTTTTACCTGCATTTAAGTTTTGATCTTTTATGTTTTGTGTGTCAAGTTCAAGTAAACTTTGTTCTTACCATCTCGTGGTACATGAGGCGGAACAAAATTATATACACAGCTCCCAGTTACAACCCAAAATAGAAAAATTTAAAGTATAAAAAGAAACAGTAAATAAGGATCTAAGATAAACGCTAAAACAAACATCAAATGGTACGCTAAAAGATCTAAGATATACGCTAAAGTTACTAATAATGTAAAAACAATGCAGCGTAACGACAGCAGCCCGAACATGAGTCTGTGGTGAGCAGATGGATATGACTGAGTACAGCAGCATAAGATAATCTGCAGCATGAGATCAGCAGCATCATGACTAATCAGCAGCATGAGATCAGCATGGATAATCTGCAACTTGAGATCAGCAGCAGCAGCATGAGATCAGCATGGATAATCTGCAACTTGAGATCAGCAGCAGCAGCATGAGATCAGCATGGATAATCAGCAACATGAGATCAACAGCAT